TGGGGACAGTGTGGCCCTGCCGCTCCCTGGTCCTCCCAACACCGGGGGGGGGGGTTGGGGGAGATCAGCTGCAGCCCCAATAGAGCACCCCCAGAATTATCTGGTGCTCACTGTTGGCTGGGCACCACTCTAAGCATGTAGCAGGTGCTAATTTAACCCTTGCAACAACCTTGTTGGGAGGTAGTTACCCCGTCCTTACCCCCAAACTCACAGAGGAAGAAATGCAAGCACCCTTCAGGAAATTTCTTAAGATTGCATGACTCATAAATGGAACAGGTGGGACTTGAACTCTTGCACCCCCGGCTTCAGAGCCCATATATGTTCAGTTGCTCCCCTGTTCTGCTTCTTGCTGGCACCAAACTGGCCAGAGCTGGCTTGAGCCACCCGACGTTCTCAAACATCCTCCAGGAGAGTGTGCAAACTGTGTTTCTGCCCCCTTCGTGACATGGTAAATCCCAAGGCATTCCCACTGGAGGTCTGGCTTCCTCGTCCCTGGGGTGTCTTGAGCCACTGTAACACACAAAGCCTTCAGCTCACAAACCTGGCAGCTTTGTGAGTGACAGAAAATTCCTTTTGAGGCATGAATTAGTCTTCTTCAAATGTTTTGACAAACAGAGTGTGGCTCTTAGGGAAAGAATAGCTTCGCAGTGTTTGTGTGAACAGACGTCTTTCTAAAACTCCTTTGGACCGAGCCATGAGGCTTCATCATTGAAATAACTGTGTGGCAATGCTGAGTTTGGCTCTTTGAGGGTTTGAATATTCTCCTGGTTTTTACCCTCCGAATGTCTGGGGCTCGAAGCTGGTCTGAATGCATGTCTCTCAGGCTCCTAAAGGGAACTGGAGTCAGAACATCTCTTAGGATTAAGAAGGAACAGAGTGAACCTGCTCCCAGGCTCTTGCATGCATGCCTGTGCATCGTGAGGGCTACTGAGGCTGGTCCAGTACCCCCCCAGCCCAGGCTCACCTTCTCCCCACATCCCCAGACCACAAAGGGCTACATCAGTAACCCTGTCATCATTTTTACCCTCTCTTCTCTGGATGCTTCCATCAATAAATGGGTAGACTGTTGGGCCTTAGTCATTCTTGGTCGCTGCGGCCCCTTGGCCATGCATCAGCATGCAGGGCCATGTTTGGCCAGGGAACAGTTATTATTGGTACCTGGAGTCAGAAGGCAAGGAGCAGAGTGTGCTAAGGCATCAGAACACACAAAAATATGTCCTGGCTCTCCGCCTTATTTGGGAAACATGGCCAAGATCGGGGCAGGAAAAGCATAGGCAACCTGGCACATCCGGCCACGTTCTCCCGGCTGGACACATCAGTAGCAGCCCTGTGTCTTTTTTGGGCAGTCTGATGGCTGTGTACCCCCAAGGAAGGATGTGTCAGCCCCATAAGTGACTCAGGCTGCTCACGTGAAGGGTAGCTGTGGCCCCGAGTGGGATACTGCCAGGTGGAAGAAAGGATTTTGTTGGGGGAGCCACCCATTGGGCAAGAAAAGGAGAGTGGTATCTATTATGCATCCCCCAGCACTGGCTTCCTGCCCTAGTAGGGACTTGGAACCTCCAGGAGTAGTCTTGCTTGACCAGCCACGGCCAACAGCTTGCCAATGTCCTTTGCCTGACAGTGTCTGTGAAGACAAAAATATCAGAGTTGGGCGTTGTACCAAAGGTCAATCTGGCTAAAGTCAAGGACTAAGTTCTGGACGTGTACTCCTGCCTTTTCTGAGGGAAGAACCTTCCAGCTGTTTTATTGTGTCCAGGGCTTGTGGTCTTTAGGTGACACAGTACAGAGGGGACCCACCGTAAACACAGCCACCCAGGATGCTTGCAGTGATGTGTGTCAGCCAGGTTCCGGGCCTGCCAAAGTCCTGCTCTGGGGTGTGCATATCATAGCCACCTTACGAGCTCCTAGTCCACACCCCTAGGAGTTTAAACACAATTTAAAAACAGATCTCAAGAGTTTTCCTTGGTCGTACCAATAGCATCCACCATCCCTGGATGCTCTTCCTCAACACTCATCAATAGGAAGCCTCTTTGTTGGCAAAAAAAAAAAAGATATAGGGCATCTCGTGGAACTCAGCCATAGGGACGAGGTTGAGACTTGGAGGAAAGTCAGCTGGAACTGGGGACAGGAGCACCTGCAGGCCACTGTCCCTGGCTCCTGTCCACACTGCATTCTTCTCTCTCCGTCAGTCAGCTCCACCATTTTCCCAGTTCACACGGATGACCATGGCCACCCCCCAAAAGCTCCTGAGTTTGCTCTCTCTCAGTCCAGTTTCCAAAATTCCCAGGGACAAGCCCGATGCGGCTGGGTCGATGACCATCCTCGGAACCAAAGCTGTGATCAATGAGAGAGGCAGCCCAGTGGGAACATCTTAGCTGCATGAGAACCACTTCCATAGCAGATTTTGGAAAGGCATTTCTTGTGGAAATGTGTGTGTGTCTTCTCTTTCCCCACGAGATTATTCATGCTTTCCAGTGGAAAACCATTTGGAAGAAAATGAAAGGGGAAGGTATCATTGGCTTCTGGATTGTTCTTTTATTCCTCCCTCAGCCAGTTACTTTACTGTGCATATCTCCCTCTCTCATGAGACATGCCTAGTCTTCAGGAAATGAAAATTACCCCCCCCACACACACACACAAAACAAATTCAGGGTTTAACAACTTCATTTATTGATTTGTTTGGGTTTCTCGGGAGAAAGAGCCAGGAAAGCCTCCTCTGATTCCCAAACAATATAGAGCTTCCCTCTCATGGCATGCCCACAGTTGTAATGATTTGCTTAACCTTTACCTCCTTCCCTTTCCCTAGACTGCAAAATTCATATAAGCAGAGGTCGTGACAGCTTTATTTGCGGCTGGATCTTGAGTGTCTAACACAGTGCCTGGACATAGTGTTAGGGGATCAATAAATATTGAATGAATGAAGTGCATGAATGAATGATGTTAGGGTGTCCACCTGACTGACAAGTTCACAGATGAAAGCTTTACCCCCAAAGACTCCTGGTAGCCCTACCTATCTGGCTACCAATAACCATAGTAACACTACTTTAATACTCTGATTCCTTCCTTTCTCTCTTTTCTCTCCACCTTTCCTTAATTACCAAGACAGAGTAATTCTTCTTTGTAATTCACTTGTTTCTCAAATCTTCCCTCTCTTCTCGATTCCCACTACATGCAAGTGGACTTTCTTGCCTTACCATGGATCATGAAGAGTCTTCAAACCAGTCCTATCTCCCGTGTTAGCACAAAATTAGTCATCCTGAAATCTCAATGTTACCATATTGCTCTGTTGCCCAAAGCATGTCCATACCACCACCTTGCACAGGATGAAATCCAAACACTTCGTAATCACCTGTGGCTCCAAGGCTTTATTATCTAACTCAAGTGTGTATGTGTCTTCTCTTTCCCCACTAGATTATTCATTCTTAAAATTACTGTGTCTCATCTTCCGGGTCTACGGATGCTTCCGCAAATAGCAAGGAACTGTTAAATACTTTTGGAGCAAACGAATCGGTGGACAGTTGCATGCGTGCATCATCACCAGGCTGGCCTGGAGATCCTGAAGATTTGTCTAGCTATTCGATTTCACATTTCTGACCACAGGGTCACATGGGGACCCTGCATTTCTGACTTCTTAGAACCTGTCCTGCCTTGTGGTCTTGCCAGTCCTTCCCTGCACTTCAGACATAATGCTAAGAACTATTACCAGAAATATTGTGAGCTCCTGGGGGAAACTCTAGGGTCTAGGAAAAAACTCAGAGGTCTGAGCTTGGAGACATACAAAGACCCTGGTCAAAAATGAAGCCAAGGGTTATGAAATGTGAGCACCCCAAGGAGCCTCTGTGATCATCAGCTCATCTTTCTTGCTTTATGAGGGAAGAAACTAAAGCTTGGAGGTGAAGTGTCTTGACTGAGGTCACGTAGTTGTGTAGTGGGAGGAATGGGGCCTGGCCCCCTGAACTCTTGTGAGACTTGGAGGGGACATCACACTGATTTATTACAGCAGACAGAACGTTGGGTGACCTTCTAATCACTACCCCTAGGTATTTTGTATGCAAAGCAGAAGTTGAATACGGATGCAGGTTATTTTTAAAATACAGTTCGGGCGCCTGGGTGGCTCAGTTGGTTAAGCGACTGCCTTCGGCTCAGGTCATGATCCTGGAGTCCCGGGATCGAGTCCCACATCAGGCTCCCTGCTCAGCAGGGAATCTGCTTCTCCCTCTGACTCTCTTCCCTCTCGTGCTCTCTGGCTCTCATTCTCTCTCTCAAATAAATAAATAAAATCTTAATAAAATAAAATACAGTTCATTTTGGTTTTCTGTGAATTTCTGGATTTCAGCATCTGTCCTCTGATATCCTTATTTAAAGAATTTACATTTAGACATAGGGCATGTCATATATGCAGAACATGGAAAAAGTATAGAGCTATGAGACAAGTGGCAATTGTGGGATCTGATGGAATGATTGCTCCTTAGTTACCAAGGGGTGCTGGTTGCTAGGCATGGTCCAGAAGATTCTAATAGTAACCAGGAGTCCATTGTAAGAAGGTGCCGCAGAGCCATGAGGGCCCACCACCATCTTCTGATGTAAAAGGAGACTTCGCTCTGTTGCTAAGGGATCTGGGCTTGGTCCTCGGCTGGAATCAGGAACTTCCCTGTGCTCTCAAGCTTTTACCATCCTGCAGGGAATGTTCAAAGGACCAAGATGGTTTGGGGGCACAGGTTTCTCTTAGTGCAGAGGCACTGTAATCCACCCCTCACGCCCTCCTCCTGAATAGAATCACTCCCATCTATTCCTAAGCAATATCTCTGAAGAGGCTTGAGACTTTTTTAGGTGGAAATCATAAAAATAACATTTAATTTGGAAGGGATTTAGGGATGATCCAATCCAATGGTTTTTCAAACTCTGCTCCACGGAGCTCTGACATTTCATGAGAGGTTCTGTTTTTATCATTTGCCCTTGTGCTATTTTCTTTTTCCTTCCATGTAAGATTTCAGTTTAAAAAAGGTTTCTGGTGGGGGGTTTTTTTTTGTTTGTTTTTTTGTTTTAAGTTTGAGAGCACCTAATTCTCATTTAGTCCGTCCTTCCCTTCCTGGGTAAGGAGGCTGGGACCCAAAGAGGTGGATTCCTTTGTGTTAAATACTTTGAAGTAGTGTTGGAAGAAGTCCTTAAGTTCATTCAGCAAAATTGGGAGGCTTCTTTTCACCTTCCTGCATAGTCAAGGTAGAGCCATTTCTAAACGGACTGGAAACCGTGGCCCATTGGAAGAAAGAGAGGACGATGATTCTGTGGACAGTGAATATATGGTTAGTACAGTGAGTACATGTCTTTTATTTAGCATGCACCCTTTTGGGGGTAATTTTTGAATTATTTCGCCCCTCCTTAAGACAGTTGACTTGCTAACTATAGAATAAACAGAAGTTATTTTATGACTTTGATAAAGTTTAAGTACAAATTAATTTAGGATTCAGAAAAAGAATCTTGTTAGACCACGCCTTCTGTTGTTCCTTTACAAAATATGACGGTGCTTAGAGGCTTACAAAGGGGGTAGCAAGTGGACTGCATGGAGACCAAAGGCCAAGCGAGGCCAAGGGGAAATGGCTTAACAAAAAATGGAGGATAAGGTAGGAACAAACAAACAGTTGAGAGGAAGGCGTGTATTCAAATATGAATAACATGATGGTCTTAAGAAGGCAGCATATCCACAGCAGGATGGGAGAAGTAACAAGTAAGGATGATGTTCTTAGCAATGATGATTTCTTGAGATGGATCAAATCCAGTGATGATTGGACAAATGATGATTTCTTGAGATGGACCAAATCCAATGATGATTGGACCAATGGTGATTTCTTGATATGGACCAAATCCAATGATGATTGGACCAATGGTGATTTCTTGAGATGGACCAAATCCAAGGTTTAACTCACAGGTCCCACCAACGCCTTTGTGGTTCTTTGGATGATAACAATTACTTGGGCTCATGGAGTATTCTAGATGGAAGATAATATAAATAAGAAGCAACAATTGCCAAAGAATTGAGAAACAACAAGATACCTAGTGTTGTTATTTAGGGACAGTAATGTTACCAGAAGCACTGAAAAGTTTCTTCCACCCAATGGAGGAGAAAGCAGCTGTTTTCCACCTTGAGTGGAAGTGGGAGAGATTTCCAGATTTCAGCGGGACTTGCCAGTTTGGCCCACAACACAGCCTAAACTGAAGCCTGGGTGGGTAGTAACCCTGTTTATTAGAGGAAGAAACGTAGCTCGATCATTCTGGTCCCCAGTTTTCTGCTTCTAAATTGTCTAAACAGTTCAGCAAATAGATTCATTCTGACATTCTTACAACACAACTTTCATATGAAAATTGGTTTCATTTCTTTGCTTTTTTTTTTTTTTTACTTCCCTCTTTCTCCCTTCCTCCTCTCCCCCCGCCTTCCTTAGAATCCCCTCCATATTGAGCCTTGGGAGACACATAGCCCGTGAAATGGCCAAAAGCATAGCTTTATAAATCCAGAGCTTCTGCCAAGATACTCGGCCTCTTATTTCCCTCTTGGGGCAGAACCTGGTTGTGGCATGATTTAACACCTCTCTCATTTTCTATTAAATACACATGAATTAAAAGTCTTCACTGGAATAGATATTTATACAGACAGATACTCTCACAGTAAAAAAAAAAAAGTAAATAAACCTGTTTTCCTACCATCATTTCTTTTTTCCTCCCCCTTTTTTCTTCCCAGCTTGTTTTCTCTTCTTTCATCTGCTTCTCTTTGTCCAGAACACCCTCGGTACATTCAGGATTGATTCGTACTCCAATTTCATTGGATTAAACTTGCCCTACCTGTTGTATGTTAAACGTTCATAGGAATACCTGGCGCTCCTGTCTTAATGTGATATGTTGCCTCTGTTGCTGATGTGGGTAGAAGCTGCTTTCGACTTTTTGGTCTCTTAAAACCTTGCATTCTGAAGGCTTGGTTTCAGACATCTAGACTAGGGGATTCCAAGTATCCCAAATCAGACTCCTACACCCTATAAAGTGGATATTTAATAAGTCAGATAAACCCAGCCTGCCACCAAACAGACAAAAATATTGAGGTCAGAATGCAAGGAATGAGTAAAAAGGAGTAGATTCAAGGTTATGTAAGTCTGTATTATATGACAAACACAGTATCGAAAATCCATTTGATATAGAAATTATGTTATAATAACTAGTTAACAATTTGAAAAAGTAATTAGAGTCTTTTCTAATACTATGTACTAAAATGTGATGCATTGCAAAGTCAATTGCAAAACCAAAACCAGAAAAATGTAAGAACATTTAAGTGAATATATAATCTGGATATGGAGATCTAAGTATGTACCAAAGATAGAATGCATAAGTTTTTTAAAAAGGATTGCTATAGAAATGTTAAATACCAAAATCATCACAAACAAGATTGAATGGCAAACTAAAACCAGGGGAAATTTACAACATAGAGGACTATATTTAATGTGCTTCAAATATAAATAGCTCTCCCAAATCTATAAGGAAAAAAAATGGAAACATTTGCAAAGAATGTTACCAGGCAATTCACATAACAAAAGAAATGAATAGTCAACAAATCTATGAAAACATGTTTGGCTAATTAAGAAATGTGATGGGATACCATTATTACTTATCAAATTAGCAAAGCTTTTTTTCTTCTTTAATAATGTCATCCATTGTTAATAAGGGTGTTGACCAAGAAGAAGAGGCTAATTTGGGATCTTAGAGATTGCAAAGAACCAAACTCAAAAGTGTGCTCCAAATCGTGAGCGGGGAGTAGGCTTCTAAAGGCAAAAACCACAAGGTTACATAACTTGTTTTGAAGGAATTATGATTGGTGCTGACAGAGTTAAACTGACTACGGCATGATTGGCTACTCAGCGACCAGATGCTATATTATCTCTGTTCCTGTCCAAAGTAGAAGGATGTGTTCCAGGAGGTAGCGGAGGTGCAACTGACAAAAGTCAAAAGTCCACAGTGTTCCAAAAATTGAGACAGGAGATGTGCACAGGCCTCTTCCCTCAATGCCTCCTGCCCTGTTCTGAAAGACTCTCTTAGCAATGCTCACAGCACTTTGGAGTTTTCTTTCACAGGGGTGTAGAGAAATGGGGGCCCTCTAATAGTCCTAGTAGGAATTCAAAATAATCTATCATTTCTGGAGAAAAGAACATGCAATGTACAATAAAAGGGGATTAAATAGATATTGAAACATGGTAAAATACTATGTAGCCATTAAAAATGAGAGCCTATACATACACACCCACACAAAAAGTAACCATATATTGCCAGTGAAAAAGCAAGGTACAAAATAGTATAAAAACATGGTCTCATGTTTTGCATGTTGTATTTGCTTATTTCTATTTCTCAAACCTACCTTTTCCTCAGAATTTCCTGGAAGGTTTGTTAAAATACGTTTCCAATACATCCCAGACCTGCTGAACTCTAATCTTCAGGAAAGGGACCAAAGAAGTGGTTGGGTTTTTTTTAGTCTGTAGGTGACCCTTAATATCAGGGAAATTGGGAAAATTGGGATCAATCTAATCTCTTCTTCTGATTTATATTGACACTGAGATCCAGAGAGATTCTGGGACCTGTATAAAGTAACAACTGTAGTAGCAGAATGGGGTCTAGAATTGAATGTTCTGGATTTCAGATGAATGATCCCTTTCTAGAACACCAAGCTTATTTAGACGCATGTTCTTAAATTCAACTCCCAGCAACCTATTCCTTCAGTCAGGCAGGTAAGAAAACTTCTCCTCCACTCCATTGTTTCTCATTCAGTAATGATCTTTCTTTGTTGATGGCAAATGGAAAGTTTTCTATTTCCACCGTTCCCTAGCAATATGACATTTTCAAACAGTAGCACAAAACTCTTTAAATAGAAAAGATCCATTTCCACTCTATCGTGACTCAGTAACAGCCACAGGATTCTTCTCAAACTTTCCTAAAAATGTCATCTTTGGGCTGGACTCAAGAGGAACATTTCAGCCAAGGAGACACATTTTCCACTCTGTCAGGAGGGAACAAGCATGGGGTTGGAACATGAAGTGTTTTGCAATCCTCAGAAAAGCAATACTTCTCACCAAAACCATGGCAACAACTCTGTGTGATGCCGTCAGAGCTTGGGATCATTCAGGAGTCTCATCCTAATCAGAGACCCAGCTGGGCCCATCACCTGCATTGGGTAGGATAGTCACCCAGCTGCCTGTTGGCTCCAGAGAGACAGTGGTGCCCTACATGACTGTCACTATGGAAATACTTCGGGCAGTGCTGTTGAGCTGAGGGTCCCTTATGTTGAGTTACCTAGGTGGCAGGTAATGAGAGGTGTATGCTTCATGTTACAGTGGCTCCTCCTTCTTCATTTGAAAGGAACCCCCCCAAAATGGGGGAAAGACATTAAAACATAAGGTAGAACATGGGTCTATTTGGAATTTGTACCCATGAGTCCAAAGTCATGGGTGTGAAATGTGCTTCCCTTACTTCATAACTTTATGGCTTTCAAGGAGTTATTGGTGTCCTCTGGGCCTTATAAGCTGCAACATGAGATGATAATTTATAGTCCTACAGGATTTTTTTTTAAGATTTTTTGTTTATTTATTTGACAGAGAGAGACATAGCAAGAGAAGGAATACAAGCAGGGGGAGTGGGAGAGGGAGAAGCAGGCCTCCCGCCAAGCAGGGAGCCCGATGCGGGACTTGATCCCAGGACCCTGGGATCATGACCTGAGCCGAAGGCAGACGCTTAATGACTGAGCCACCCAGGCGCCCTATAGTCCTTTAGGATTAGCAGGAGGTTTCAATGAGATGATTTCTATAAAAGCTTCTGTTCCAGACCCTGGCCCTTTACAGTTCCTTCAATGCCAGAACTGATCTGTGAGGAGTTAATGACTCCGTTTCTTTTGTTCACTCCTCTTTCCATTCTTCTGTTCACTCCTGCCATTCCCACCTCGCTCAATGAATGGCGGCATCCCTGTATCCTCAGGGCACTCTGTAAAAGATTCCTCCAGATTTTCTCCTTCCCGATTTGCACCACCTGGATCCCTGGCCTGGCCAGCATTTAGACAGCATGACTTTTTAAAGTTATACGTTATTATTCCCACTGCAAACAGTTCCCCTTTCTCCTCAAGATTCTGTAACCAGAACCAAACAGGTGGGCTTTCACCTGAAGCTGCCATCATCAATTTAACACAGAAAGGCATTTTGTATAGTTTAGAAAGTGGTTAACTCATTACTGCCATCCCAACAACCCTGTGCGATTGGTTCTTACGATTTATTAGTGATAGGAA